GATAAATAAGTTTTCCCCCAAGTGGAATAAGCGACATAAATGTAGACTGTTTCGCAGGCTAAGTGCTTCGATGTTCTCGAATTCTTGCTTCATACAGGAGCAGTAAACGCACGCATTTCAAAGCGAAATTAGGCGCAAAGGGGCAATTTTTCATCAAAATTTGTTGTTAAATTCTGTTTCGTTAATTAAAACTAAATTTTCAAAACACTAAAAAAACTAGTAAGAAGATAAAAACCTTACTAATTTGATTTTCATTTTGGACAAATTTTGATTAATGTTAATAAACATGTTTATGGAAACAATCGCTTGACGTCCGCACTGCGCTTAATTCCGTTGCATGAGGCATAAATTTGCCTTCCTTTGAAACGCATACTGGAACGCCCAATCCAAGGTATTATTACGACGGAAACATTTTACTCCTTTCCCCAGGAGACAGTCTCTCTACAGGAGATTTATTGTCCGAAAAATAAAGTTGCTACAGTTAACTATTTGCAGATCAAACATTGACTAAAAATCCTTACTCAGCATTTTTCCAAAACTTTGGTCAGCAATATTTCAGTAACAATTGACCGTACGTGATTATCATAATATAGTTTTTTTGTACACATGTGATGCTCTATCTGTCAGTATTTTCAAAGTTTTGAATTTCAAAAATTTTTAGTTTTCTCATCTATGGATGACGTCATACATAGATAAAAGCAATTTTCTCGAGACCTGCATGTTTGCCGAAGTACAACATTGGTGTTTTATCATTGAAATGGATCCACTCAACATATAATGAAATCAAAATTTGGTCTCCGTGGGGGGGAAACGAAACTTGCTTTCCAGCTTCATTCTCGCGAGTGGCTGATGGCCTATATCCTTTATTGAACTTTAATCTCTGGGTATTAATGTGGTCGTTAATACACTTAATGCAACGAACTAAAGGTGTTAAAACGCACCTTTAATCTCTTTAATAAAACGCATTAAGTGCGACTAAACACGAATAAAATACACCATTAATCCTACTTTAATAGCATATTAAAGGTGCGCTTTTCGTCCTGTGTTACTATTTGCTAATTGGACAAGAAAATTTGATATATTACATGAATAATTTACTATTTTAATAGTGATTACAGTAAAAAGTTTAAAAGGTTAATTTACTCTAAAAATTGTATGTGTATTTTACTCTAACAATTGTATGACTATTGTAATAGTAATTACGATAAATTTAAAAGGCTAATTTACACTAATAATTGTATACGAACATCCAATAAATAAACATCAAGTTTCGTACGCTACACATACAGAAGATAAAGGAATTCATTGTTCTATTAGTCATGATTTGTGGGGGGTTGAAGTTCCTTTGGTTTTCTCAGGTTATAATTCGTGTTATATCTTGCTGGTAATAAGCTATTAAGTTGGTGATCAGGATTAAGAATAATAGACTTAAAAAGTTTGTCACATAAATATTCATGATGATCCTTCATGGGCTTAATATCTAATCGTTCCAAACCTGTTAGATAGTCAACTTCCGGCATAATAATTGATATAGCTCTTTTCTCGAGACGCACTAACTCACGCTTCAGATATTGGGGAAGACAATGGTAAAAGGCAGGAATCGCGTAATCCACAACTGACCTGACACACGACTTATAGAACAGCGCTAAATCTTGTGGTGGAACTCTCGCCCGTTTTAATTGCACTAAAAAGTACAATCTTTTATTCACTTTCTTTATAACCTCGCCCACATAAGAATTCCAAGTAAGGTTGTCCTTGACAGTGAGTCCTAGCAGCTTTACTGTTTTAACAACTTCCAATTCTTTCCCATTAATGGTTAATGGATCGAAGATTGCTGGTTGATTCGCGAACGATATTCTCAATTCCTTACACTTGTCTTGATTTAATTGTACTCTATTATTACTAGACCACGTAACCACTTGATCAACTATATTTTGGGCATCACTAGTACCCCCCTTACTGACAATTTCGGACGCTGTCGTATCGTCTGCGTATTTCCAGGTATGTACATCATCAATGATTAAATCATTTATCATAAAAGCAAACAGCCAGGGGCCTAGCTTAGTTCCCTGTGGTACTCCTGTAGGGACTGTTCCCCACTCCGAAAAACAATCATCAGCTAATTTAACTCTTTTAAATCTATTGGTGAGAAAATCAATTATCCAGTTTATAACACTTGGAGGTAATTCCAATCTGCTTAGTTTATCAATCAGTATACCGTGGTCGATTAAGTCGAATGCTTCACGATAGTCAAATAGAATTGTCCTAATGGTTGAGTCATTTCCATCTGTTCCTAAAAACCAGTGATGTAACATATTAAGAGACAATGTCCACTAAAACCGAGCAAAATCGAGAATACGTGGCACATGAGGAAAAATAAAAAATCTTCTTATTTTTTCCAGTGATACTCTAATGTGTACTCAGAAACGTGGTGGGGTTTGTTTTCTGAAATATTATTTTAAACGCCGAAAATTATCAAAACCTCACACATACCCGAGATTCGCGAAATTAGCAAAAAAAATTGTGAGCTACGGCCTCTCGAAAATTTCGTTTTTCTCAATTGGCGTGTGATAAAACCTCACCTTTCGTTTTTAAACGTGTTTATAAGATGTTTATAAAGGCCGTGGGTCCAATTTGCAATTTTTGAAATGATTTTTCAATGTCAAGACAAGCGTGTAAAAAAATCTTTTTTTGCGATCCAAATAATTTTAAATTGTTACACTTTTTGAAAATTAATTTTCCGTATCCGGGAAAACTCCAATTTCCTTGAAATTTACGGAATTTAAAGACAGACTGTTGCTCTAAAACCTGATGTAAAAATTATTTTGGGGCTTTTTGTTAAGGCGGAATTATACTGACTATAATATCGAGGAAATCACAAAAAAAACTTAAAAATCCTCAGACAATTAGGCACTTTGCTTCAACTATAGACAGTCGAACCTTAATCATTCTTGCTAGTTTTCTCTTGTTATTGATAGGAAATATAAGACGTAGATAATTTTAAACTAGTTTGCCTATTTCTAGATAAAAATACGCTATTAAACTCTCCAAGACTAAGATTTCTGCTTCAAATTCTTGTTTCAATTGATCGATCCATGCGCGCCAATTAAAATAAACTAGAAACACTTGTACACTCGCTAGATTCAAGGCTATATATACTTACTATATAAACAGTCAATCATAGGCGTACCGGGCGGGGGGGGGGGGCGGTAGCCCCCCCAGTTTTTTGGGCAGTCGGGCAATATTCGATCAACAGTCGGGCAATTTTGGTTTGTAATAAAAATAAATGGGATAAATTCTGTCAATTTAGTCGAAAATTCAGCAATTGTGTGTTGTCTGGAAAATTTGTGTGATGTTCCGAAAAATTTTGGTATGTCCGGGATAAATTTTTTGACCCCTAAAATGGTACACTGACCGAAATTTTTTTGGCGACGGGGGGAGGGGGGGGGAGGTCGCCGATTTATGTACTAGTCGGGCATAATCCCGAATAGTCGGGCAAATTTCTTTCCGCCCCCCTAATTTTTTCCTTCCGGTACGCCCATGCAGTCAATTACTTATATTTGAGCATGTTGGGCTCTAAGCAGTTCAGTTTAAGCGTCATACTTCGGCCTTATTTTCATTGAAGCCGGGCAAGTTCAGTCGTTTAATTAAAGGGACAGGGCCGTTCCTAGCGTGATAATTGGGGGTGTATGTTCATATATTCGTCTTCTGCCCGACGGATTTCTTTTGAAAGCGATTGTTTTTACGGTAGCGAGCATGAATATATGAATATACCCCCCCCCCCCATTATCGCGTCTAGGAACGGCCCTGTTGAGGAGGGATATGATCGGAAATAGCATGAATATAGAAATTAGATTCCCTTATCTGAAAGAACTTTTAAAATGACGTGGAAAACATTTAAAAGCTTTTTTAAATCTCGCTTATTTCTCGACCTTAAGAAAAGCTTCTGTTGTGATGGAGCTAAACTGTGGAACTCATTACCTAAATGCAATTGACGCTTATAACGAGGGTCGAGGGTCGAAAATAGTAAATTTTTATCCATTTCAAAAGTTTTACAACCATTTTGAAAGCTCCCAAAAGCGGCAAAACAATTAGTTTTGCACTCCAAACTGAAAAATTTCGCCTACGGCTATAATCTATATGTATACTGAAAGTTTCGCTGAAGAACTATAAGTCTGATGCGAGGTTTGATGTTTGAAAGTATACGTATTTTAATATACATCGGAATTTAAAATATACAAACATGGGCGATGATCAGAGGCGATGATACAAAATTTGCATTTCGCCAGTGCCGTAGCTAGCTCGATAATTGGGGGGGGGCAGATATTCATATATTCGTGTTCACAGACCATAAAAACAATCGATTTCAAAAGAAATTAATAACGCAGAACACGAATATATGAATATCTGCCCCCCCCAATTATCGAGCTAGCTACGGCACTGCGTTTCGCTCTCGTGAGAAATTTGATTATAAGAGGCAGTTTATATGGTCCCGCTTACCCGGGATTCAATGAAGTGTAACGTATTTTGATCGAGCAATTGAAATACGTGTTTCAGCCCTAAACAAAAGTTAGATAACTTTAAATATTTTTTAAACGAAATTAGGAATGCGCCTGAAGTTATGTAGTGAAAGAAGACGATTAATAGCATTCAACAACATTTGGTTTTTTGTTTAAGACATGGAATTTCATACAATTTGTAACGAGCAATTTTGTTATATCATGAAGTGCGACTAATTTACATTGCTCAAAATACGCACGTCACACTTCATTAAATTCCAGGACCCGGGGAAGCGGGACCATGGCCCCAACTTAATGGCATGGCGGCGACGTACAGAGTTCTGAAATTGCTCAGAACTTCAACTTAACGATACTCCCTATAGGGTATGACATCGTGTTTACAAGTCTGATATGTTGGATAAGTTGCAGAAAAGTATGGGTAATATCTTCATTTTTTGCAGTTTGTCATGGATAATGTAGCTGCTTAAAATTAATCAATTGTCAGTATTTTAAGGGTATATTATTTAAATGATAAATAAAGGTCCGCATGATTTTGAAAAAAGAATGATTATTAGCAAATTGGTTTCTTAAAAGAGCAAGTCGCTTACATGCAGTTATTGTGCATATAACAAAGTAAATTCAGCGTATGTTCTATACATCAGGTTTGATATTACTTTATAATTTCTGTGTATTCGGAAGTTTATTTATACAAACTGTCAAACACGTCACTAATTACATTGACATTGTCATTGTAGTCACATCGCGAGTTTAATAAAATCTAGCCCTAATCTCAATGATTTATGCGACTACTTCAGAGAAAACTAAGCACATATATTTCAGTTTGAAAAAAGTAGATAATACGGATTGATTTTACGAGCTATTGAGACTTTGAGTAGTGGATTTAAGCATGCTATCAATAACTGATCTTTTGTCTATTAATTATTATGTGTCAAGTCACGCGCACGGAGCTTTTGCAACATGATGTTCATATTGACTATTTATTTCTCTAAAATCCCGATAAACAAGCAAAATAATTTAAAATAATTTATAATTTATCTGTCAAAACCAAATAACAAGAGAAAACAAGTATAAATGCTCACGTTTCGACAGTCTATCTGAGCAGGCTGTGTCTAGACGTACTGCCTGTCTATAAGTGTCTGTCTACATAATCGGCTGTATATTAAAGACATTATAATTTCGTGATAACAAAACACCCCATAATATTTTTTATACCAGATTTGAGAGCAACATTTGCTCATACATTTGTCTAAATTTGAAGGAAATCGGAGTTTTACCGGAAAGGGAAAATTGATTTTCAAAAAATGTACCAAACTTAAAATTTTTTAAGTTAAGGTTTTTCTTGTGATTTTCCCGATATTATAGTCAGTATAATTCCGCGGTAACAAAAAGCCCCAAAATAATTTTTACATCAGCTTTTAGAGCAACAGTTTCTCTTTAAATTCCGTAAATTTCAAGGAAATTGGAGTTTTCCCGGATACAGAAAATTAATTTTCAAAAAGTGTAACAATTTAGAATTTTTTGGATCGCAAAATAAGGCAATTTTTACACGCTTGCCTTGACTTTGAAACATCATTTAAAAGATTGCAAAATAGACTATCGTTGTTTATAAACATCTTATATACACGTTTAAAAACCGAAAGTGAGGTTTCCTGAAGACGCGAACTGAGCAAAGCGAAGTTTTCGAGAGGCTATAGGCCGGTTTACACGACCAGTGTTTTGGGCACGGCACCCCTAAAAATGGGCACCCGTGCCCAAAATTTTAGGCACGGCACCTCTGCCTTTTGGCGTGTAAACGTGACAAAAATCGGCACCGGTGCCGCAAAATTTAAACGTGCCGAGACTTTCTCACGAGGTAGTCTCGGCACGTCTAGCAAGGGGTGCCGTGCCCAAATTTCGAAAAAACTAAAAAATGTGTTTGACATCGAGCATGCGCAAAACAAATCGTCCTCTTTCTAACATGGCAGCAAGCGGCGAAAAACTACAACTTGCCAAAAATTTAAAAAAAAAAGTTAAAAAACAAATTTAACACAGAATGTGAATGTTGCTCTAGTTGACTCGGAAATTTTGATACCACTGTTCGTCGCTGAAGAGAGCAGTAACTAGGTCGTATAGCAAATAGCTGTCGTTCGATGCGTCCATACCTCTCGAATTCGTGGCGGGTGAATACAAGATGGCACAACATTTATGCGAGAAAACAACTCCTTTCGTCTTTAAGGGCCTGTTCATATGGGCAAAGGTTATCCCGGTTAACGAGAAAACTTTTCGACTAGCCAAATATACTTTTGTTCTGTTCACATGCATGGAGAAACGTTATTCCGCTTACCGGGTAAAGTTTCCGGCTGTGACATAGCACTGAATATCAATTGAATTGAAAAGTTACTGACACGACAGAAAGCTATCCTGCCAAGCGTGAACTAGAGTTGTGTTCATATGGGAAAAACATTATCACTTGACAAGTGAAATCTCGGTACGTACACGGGAAAACGTTTTGTCTTATATGAACGCAGTGTAAACTAACTTTTCATATTATTTTCATACCAAGGCGAGATCTCGCTTGTAAACTTTTCGAAAAGTTTTTTCACAAACCAGGATAACTTTTGCCCATATGAACTGGCCCTTAAAGTACGTTCCTAGTATTGAATTAGGTTTTCCCTCGATTTCTGGCCGGCATATTTATTCTTTAAAATATACCGTCGTAAACGGAAAATAGAGGTGCCGTTTTCCGATGGCACGCACTGAATATCAATTGAATTGAAAAGATGCTGATACGACAGAAAGTTATCCCGCTAAGCGGT